AAACACTGGCAAACCATCTGAAGAAAACAGATTTTCCGTATCGTTTCCAGGATTACTTAGGAGCTCTTCATGAATTAAAATATCGAATTTTTCCTGAAGATAAAAGTCCTTATAAGAATCGCAGATCAATACTTCGATGGAAAAAATGAGAATATAAACTTTACCAATCGCGCCTCGTCTATCCATCCTCCAACCAATGCCACTCGTTCTTGGTGCGACATTTTGAAAAATTGTGATAGTGTAGTAGCGGTCAAAATAATTTGAGCCGTGAATGGATTGATTAGTGGAGAAAGGCATGACAAAAATCTTTCATGCTTTCCATGTTGTCACGGTGTTAAGTATTCATGGTAAGTAAAATGATGAGGTATTGTTTTAATGAAAAAAAGAAAGAAAAAGGAATTACCAAACTTTCTTCCATAGTCATCCAATCCCTGCTTTCCCATTGCTGTTTACTTGTCCACCCCTTTCTCCCACTTTCTTCGTCACATTTTGCCGCACAAAATTCGCCCACCATTCTCACGAGCCTTGCCGAAATTTCTTCACACGGGGAAAACATTATATGCGTATTATATAAACAACACGTCAAAATAATTTGCAATTCGGCCAAAGCTTTCAGCACAGGTAAGGTAAAAAAATAGGGAAGTGAGAGCGATTCTGTATCGTTACTAGATGGTCGGCGATTCCATGTATAACTTTCCAGGATCAAATAAAGACTGGGATATTTTTGGTGAAGGCGCACCAAAGTACGAGCGATCTTCGGGACGGAATTTTCTTGCGAAATTAAATTAAGAGGGTAAAAGACAATACCGGTATTTTCATCTAATATTACGTCACACTCTACGTGAAGAGTTTCGGATTCTATATCAAGTAATAAAGGCTAAAATACTTTGATTAAGTACCTTCAATTGTGATCATAAAAAAGGATCATACAAATCAAACTCTTATGCACACCCTCATATACTCGAAATCCCTTTCCACAAATTCCAATTTGCAGTTGACACCCCTTGAGGCAGTTAAAAAGCCGCGGTTCGCCAACATTCGAACCGAAATAATATACTTGTGTACATTTATGGGCATCGGTAGCTTGTCGATAATATCCTTTGTCATGGAATCTGAAAACAATGAAGATAACATTATCATAATGTAAAGAGACCGTGAAAAAACATTTAAAACTTACATATCTGATTGATTTTCTGAAAACCAGATAAATTTTGGTGACCGCTGCTGTCATTTATTTTAAACTGGGGCCCAATTGAAGGAACCAACTGCTGACTATGTCGATCATCTGGAATCATATTTTCATTAGTATAAAGACAAGGAGTATTACTGATGCTGGGAACTTTAGGTTGTTGTTCTATCATTAAAGATTCATGTAAATATTATATAAATTCCATCCTATCATACTAAACTTATATGAAGATAATTTACCATCATTGTTTCTAATTGAAAATTTCCATTTTCTGGGCTCGATTTCTTGGCGTTTGCTGGAAACCATCTTTCCTCTCAATAACAAGAAATCCTCGATAGATCTTGAAGCAGAAAATGAATCTGTGAAATGCGCAGGATTAAAAATGTTCTGATCATCCGAAAGGACATCTGCTTCATTATTTCTCGAGGTGTCCTCAACCGAAAAATCAAGGTTTTTAAAATTATTATAAAAGTCAGTTGAATGATCAAAATTAATCAAATTGTCTAAAGAACTATCCGCAGACGAATATTCACTATCCCTTATGTTGCGTACGAGTTTTTGGATGGTGGAAGAATTCTGAGGAACTTTGAGGTATGGTGACGAATAGTTTTCTAGAGTATTGTCTTTTATAGAAAAAGAGTATGTGCCCTGACGCGAAGACGATGAATTTCGAGAATTATTAAACCGAAATAATCTTAGACAAAAAAAAATAAGTTGTTTGCCTTAAAAAATGCGTAAATCATCTACCACTGGAGTCCCCTCGGGCTCCTGATCACTAATTGAAACGTTCCTTAGCCCATTTAAAAATTTTGATCCGTTGATATACCGAGTAGTATTATCAAGCATGTTCTTACTGGTGGAAGAATCATCATTCCCTGACACCTCATAACAGGTTAAATCGACGATTTCATGCGAATCTTCTAAATCATTATCTATAGGCGCATATTCTTTACTCAAATTATTCTCTTTTCCATAATTAGAAAGCCATGTCGTGATCCTTTCTTCATTGCTCATCGTAGGTGTATGCCTTACTATGGACATGTGGTTCGGCTTAATGCTATGGCTTCTTCCGTTCTGCATAATAGCATCGTATTTTTCTGATATCACATTGGTTTGTAATAAATCGCGAATGTCGGCTGAATCACCGGAAACCTGATTAAGTTTCTTACGTGTGGGTTGATAATTACGACGGTGTCTAAAGGAGGAATCCTCCTTGTCTGAGAGTGACTTTTGATGAGAAATTGTTGCAGTACGACTTTCGCCAACGTTGTCATTTGAATTATGTTTTGAGATCATCCAATTAGCAGAACTTTCATTTGATTCCATCTTCTTTAGTTGGTGTTTAACAATTTTTTTTTCTTTTCTTGATCTTAGAGGAGTCTCAACGACATCATAAAATTGAATGTTGGTGGCCCCTAAAGCATCGTCCTCTCTAGGACAACGTAAATCCTCGAATGGTTCGACTTCCTGTGTCATCGGCTCGATATCAATAACATCTTCGAGTTTTGGTAGAGTCACGTTTCTAATTGGATTCCAGTGTAATTCCAATTCTAAGGCTTTCAATCCACCGAATGATGATAATATTTGAAATTCCGAATTTGAAGAATTCGGGATGTTTAAGAAGTCGACAAGGCGAGTAGGTATTGTTTTTATGCTTTCATTACCACCGGGAGCCTTGTTTATGAAAGTGACAGGATGCGGTAGTTGTGGAACTACCAAAAAAAGATCGAATTGGTACAATTATAGCGATTAGGTGATTCTTATAATTATAAAAACCTTTAAATTTCAGCCCTCCAACTTCATCCATTGGTTCCCACATGACGACGGATTGCCAATTAATATTTGGTTTTTCGACTTGTAATATCGCATCAAGATCTTCTTGGAGTGCTGCATCATCTAATTTCTGAGTAGGGAAAATGCATTTTTCGGGTGCAACGGATTTTATAGTTGATATTACAGAATCAGGTCTATGAAATTCAAAGTTCAAATTAGGTTTACTGAATGAGTCTTATTTCGTTAGAATACACTTGAGATAAAATACGTTAAATTTCTTTTCCTGCAAAATCGATAGAATTAGACAACGGGAATAAATAATAAAACGTGTTTAAAAATAACTCAAATGATTAATTACAATCTTTTCCTACGATCGGTTTCTAAGGGATTGCGTTTTGCAGGAATCAAAGCAGGTTCTACGAATATTGAACACATAATCAACCAGTATTATTTATTTATTTCAATAAGCTTAATTATGTAATCCAAAAGGTTGTATTATACCTAATCGCAATGTTTCTCGAAATGGTGTGGGTTCATCAAAACCTTCGAACGTTTTGGACTCAAAATTATATATTTCTTCTATATTTATTAGTAATTCGTTCGTACCTTCTTGAATAATAATTTGTACAGAAGAAAAAATATATGCTTGTAAATGTTTGATTACATCATGTCTAAAATTTATCTACTCACCCCATTCATTTAATATCTCTAAAGGAGCTTTAACTCCACTTTCTTCAGGTACTAACTGTTCCTTTTGGTTTTTTAAATTTATTTCCATTCCTTCCTCGTTCATCACTAACGGAATAATATCCGATACGCTAGTCGGTATATTTTTTCCAACAACTCGATTCATTTTATTAGTTATTACAGGTTCTTCAAGATACAGTAAAGACCAGTTAGATTTATAATCTTCTAAAGGAGTCATGTATTCAAAATCATCGTCTTGTAAGTCATCAGACTCTAGAGAGATTTCCCGGGAGAGGGTTTCGTGTAGTGAACTGTGCAATTTTTAAGAAAAAGTATTAGATTCTAGATAAATCGTGATAATTAGACATCATCTATTCTTTAAGTCGAAATATAGAAAATATACCATAGGGCATCAATCTCATCGTCAAAAAAAGGATCTAGTAAGATCTCGTTGGTGGGCAATTGCCGCGATAAATCATTCAAACTGGGAATTGGGTATAACCCATCATTCTGCGCGCGCTTTGAAAATAATGGTTCCTCCATCATCGGAGGAGTTTTTTGTGCACATGTTTCTTAATCAAAAGTAGCAAAAATGAAATTAATGTGCGAATTTGACTCGTGAGAGATTTAACAAGAATTTAATGAACCTTCGCAAAGAACAATATCGGTGACTTTTGCATCATTTAAAACTTCCTTTAGCAAATTGTTTATTTCTTCTACCTCGTTCAGTACCCAGTTTTCTGATAATTGATTTTTTATCTCAGCCAATGGCGACAGTGAAGTCTCGGATGGTGATTCATTTATTATTGATTCGTTTTCATAGTCTTGTATTTGAAAATGTTCCAACGTAACTTGTGACAATGGGTCTTGTATAGAATCTAATAATGAGTTGTTTGAATTCTTTAAAGCTGAGGCGAAATAAAGATCAATAATTCAAAACGTACCATCACCGGATAAATGTAATAATTTTGCGCAACTTAATAATTCTTCACGAAAATTGTTATCTTCCATGTCATCACTGATGTAACTGTTTTGCCTGACTTCCGTCATGGTTTTTTTTATTTTTCTCTTTGCGTTATTCTCTCTTGACTCGTTTGGTTCTATTGAATAAAATAAATTCAAATCTTATGTCAAAATCTTCTGAATATGCAAATTTTTTAAAAATAAAATCAATTTCTTCAATATTTTCACCAATTATGAAAAAAAAAATCTTTTGGTGTTGTCACGTAATGTAAAAAAAAGAGATCATTTCTAAAGAAATTATATCAGGAAGACTACGATGAACCCTTCGTATTTACCAAATGTTCTCATTCAAATTGCTTAAAAATAAACCGTCAAAGTTAAACGAGCTTATCACTTCCTTATCATCGACTAAAAATTGTTGTATTTTTTACTGTATTGAGTTTTAAAAAAAGTTTAGGGATTTTAAACCATTGAACTGTAAAATACGTAAATTAAACTTTAGGTGTTATTATCATTATATAAAAAAGTTTTTTGAAAAAACTCTTTGTAACCAACTATATGCAAACAAATTTCTTCTTGTTATACTGTATACTGTATATCGTCATATATTTCTTTTAATATTGTTATCTAAATCTAAAATCATTAAAATATTAAGATTAATGTATATTATAGTTTTTATAAACTTGTTAAATAAAAATTTCTATTTTTTATAACATGTAATTTTATAATATTTGATTGTTTAAAATTCCTTTATTAAATATTATTAAATAATGATAGCTATGATAATAAACTATTTTAATAAAGATTCACATCAAATATAGCAGTGTTTGTCACTAATGCTAACAGATAATTAGAGATTGAAGCTATGTAACGAAAAATTTTATTTAATCAAGATTTTTCTTTATTAATTTCAACTTTTTAAACTTTTATATAAACTTTTCTTAAATTGGATAATTATTTTTGAAGGTAAATCAAAAATTTTCAAGGTATAATTTATTATTTTATAACTTATAATTCAAAATTATATAATATATAATTTATTTTTTTAAAGATAAATAAGTATTCAATGCCATGGTTTTTATTGAATTATTATATTTGAACCATACACTTGTAATCTATACATGCTAATATTACTATTAATTGTAAGTTTAATCATAACCAATCTATCTTTTTTTTATCTAAATATCAATTTACATCACATGGGTGGATCCATAGTCAGGTTTTATAAAAAGACATTTTTTATCAAACACATGTTAATATTTTATAGATCATCTTTTTACATCATGTTTTTAGTTTATATAGCTGTAATAAGATTTAACATATATATGTACTTTTAGTAAATATTTTGAAAACTGCAATTCTTAGTTGGCACAAGCTACCAAATCTAGGGACATTAATGCTAAATGGATATAATATCATAAATCTTTTAGTAGATATTTCAAAGATAATATATAACCTATTATGGAAATCTTAAAATAAATCAATATAATAATAATTATTATTTTATTTTTTTTTTTTTTAGGCAAAGCGCATTACATGCGAGACGTTTATTAAACTTTTTTAGTTTATGATCATTATATGAAAAATCTGACTAACTATTTTAGCTAATCTAATCCTAGCACTGCCTATTTTTATACCCAAATATCAACTTACACCTCGTGGGTGTGTCCATATTCGGGTTTGAGCTTATTTCATAGACCTTAATTAATGGTAAGCATGTTAACTGTCACTAGGTTCCTTATTACTTTCACACCTCGAGCTCAAACTGTCCATGGTACCCGTGGTCTTACTTTCCTACACTTCCTAGTAAATGCTTCGAGAGTTGTTCCTATAGTTGGCACACACTACCAAATCTGGGGGCTTGGTTGCTGACCAAGTGGGACACGACTCCTGAATCTCCCAGTAGACACTCCATAGGCTCTCAGTTGGCTTAGGCTACCAAATCTAGAGGCATAAATGCCAAGCAGGGCGCAACTCCTATAGGATGGCCCCAGGCATGCTCCACATCTT